ATTCATTTATTAAAATGTCATTTAAACATATTTCTATGCATGAAACACCTCAAATTTTTCTTCTGCACTGTCAGTTGATCCAAATTATAATTGAAGTTTCACATTTTTTGATGGTTTCCCTCTAGTAGACCAGTCTAGCTGCTAGGCTAGTGTATTTCGGCGGGTGTAGCAGGGTGAATCCCAAGAGAGAACGGTCAAGTGGTCAGGGACTCAGGGACCTACCGCTGCCTGTATTCGTCAGTAGGAACTAAAAGTGAATAAAAACATTCATGAGGTATGTGGTAAAAACTGTGAGAACTTTTTGCGATTCTATGCTGAAAAGGCTTTGAGAGAGATCACCAGTTGGATGGTTTCTCTTGGCTTTTCAGAACCCATCAACTATTCGACTTTGTAGAACTTATATATGCTTATATGGACATGGACTTTTTTGGTTAGTGCTGTAGGTAGCTAAGATTTACCTGGTTATTATATTGTAAATGTCAAAAAATGTAAATCCCTTTATTGTCCCACAATAGGGAAATTCACTCTCTGCATTTAATCCATCCCCTTGGGAAGCAGTGGACTGCCATTGTGTGGCGCCTGGGGAGCAGTGTCGTGTTAAGGGTCTTGCTCAGGGACCCACAGTACAGGCTGTGGGGATTAAAACTGGTACTTACAATTTCTCAGAGCACAAGCGCACTGCTCTAATCACTAGGCCAAGACTCCCCATGATAAAGGAGAATTTTATAAATTATATTTTATTGGTTATTTGAGATCAATGATACAGTGAAAAATAGACTGGCCAAATGAAGGTTGATAAAAATTCAACTTCAACTAAACTTTTCAAGATTAGGGATTTACTTCTAGCTCGTCAGCATTGGAGGTAATGGGAGAACCACTTGTATGTTCTTGTTTTCGCCACCTGCTGGACTAAGGGTGTAGCACAGTTTATTTTGGCTGCTTATACGAGGCTGTTAGGGAAATGGGAAAGCACACCCTAGCCCCTAGGGCTTTCAATCCCAGCGCTTGAATAAGCACAATTTTTTTTTTTTTTTTTTTACTTTTTTGAAGTTCAATAAAAAGTCATATAAAATTAGATAAAAACAATCCACCTTTTTTTGAATGACTATGACCTTGATGACTGAAAATCTTCACCAGCACTTTTCTGAAGTGCTTTTTAGGATCTTTCTGGTTGTACTGTTTGTAAAAGTAAAAACGTGGGAGCAATTTTAGATAAAGGATTTTCTTTATCTGCGGCCCCTCCTGGGCTTTACTTATTTAAATTTTGTCCTGAGTATCTAATATATTCCTCACCTACCAGAGAACAATGATTAAGGGATTACATTATACAAATCTATCCTGAGCTAACATTTAACATTTTCAAGCAAAACCCGGGAATCCAAGAAGGTTTGTAGCTTTTAGATATATTACCACACAGCAAGAATATCCAGAGAAAACTGTTAATCCAATAAAAAATTGCCTTAGGCCTTTTGTTTTTTAAAACAACAGGAAACTAGGGTTGAAAAGGTAAAGATGAGAAGCTGTTCCATTTGAGGAGGCTTACAACCAACAGTGAACTGGAGCATAGAGGTGAGACCAAGTCATTGTTTTTCATTCACCCCTTTTTGACAGCACTGAATGATAGGACCCTCTTTTACTGGACACGAACAGGTAGAACAACACAGCAGACAGATGCAATGGCCATGTTGTAGAAGCGAAAGCAGTCAACTGGAAAACAGCAGGGGTGGGGGAGGTGCACTTAGTGGGCAGAGTAGCACACCTGGCTCCATCTTTGCATGGCCAGTTCTTTTCCTTTGTACTGTACAACACACTTTTCATTTGGTCTAAGAGATCAAGTTAAGGTGAAGTCGATTATTCACTGTTTTGAGATTAAATATCAACCCCAACATTTTTTTTACAATTCCTTCAAATTGGGTCTAAAGTCATCAAAACTGTGATTGCGGTTTGACTTGTTTCTAAGTCACAATACATTTGGTATTAGTAGCACACAATGCTTTTAAATTGTCACAATTTCTTTTTCTTTTTTTTTGATTGAATACCAAAACTGCTTTCACATGCATGTGACATAACTCCAGTAAGACATTTTAGTCTTGCAGGATCTTTGACTACAAGATCTCATTACAACACGAATGCTGATTTTTGCCATCATAATCACTACTGCAGAGAATGAATTCTACAACCTTGTTTTAGATGTTGTACTAAAACCACACTAATAATAGCCATTATTATTAGACATTCACAACAATTAGTCGCTACTGGCGGTGTGCAACTCTTAAGAATCCAAACAAATTCATTTACATAGAAGCATTTACAGTATCTGATCCACAAATCCTGAGGATCAAACATTCCCTTTAAACAACTGGTGTCCCACATTGAGGCCAAGTAGCACAGACTCAAATTTCTAAGCACTGGACAAACTTCTGTTTTAGATAATATAATCTCTAGATCAGACATTATGTTACCAGCGATTCTGCAGTTACATTTCCATTTAAAGAATCAGTGTGAAAGAGGTTTAATGGAAGGTATGGATAATAAGAGCCAAATTAAGCAAAAACATAAATGCATACATAGTTTCAAAGCAGGGTGATATAAACAACAACATGATATATTGTTGTAATATATAGAGGGTTATGGACCTCCATGCCCCACGTATTTTTATTAATGCATATCACTATGGCAACAGCTCAAAGCCATTTCACCAATATTAAACATAAAAGGTTTTCAGTTCTAAGAGCAACATTTTGATGCAATTTTACCAGTGTGGAACATCACAAGTCATTTGGAGGTTTTATGCCATCAGCAGAAAGCCACACACACAATGCATTTAGTCTTTCGGTAGCACTCTCTGCAGCTATAATTAAGTGAAAGCTTCAAAGCCTACTAAATCTATCTCAACACAAAACGCAGATGGATAACTCTATCAGTTTAGGTTGTGATTGATGAAAAGGGAAATGAAAACAGCAAATAAATAAAATGACAAGCGGTCAGAAAAAAAGGTCAATAGAAAATAGTTAAGTCATTTGAGCCTATATTGGAAGCAATGTACTCAGATTACATCTAGACACCAGATGGACTGAGCACTGACGTGAAAGCAATAATATAAGACGAAGCGAAGGAAGAGAGTAATGAGGGAAGGAGGAGAGTCAGTCTAAGAATAGAAGTAAAACCTCGAGCCAGCACAATCGGTCAGCCCTGGGTGCTATATTTTAACTTTACTACTGTGTCAGCCACACATCAGACATCTCTCATCCCTCTCTGTTTCACTCTCCTATCTGCAAAAATGAAAAGCCAACAGTATAAATGTCTGGTATGTATATTTAACTGAACACCGGATTCCTAAGATTTAGTACTTCCCAAACTGCTGTATGTCATCTGCAGAGGAACTTTATTTATCAGCTTCAAAGCATAACTTTTAACGTAAGAGCACATCTATCAATCTGGATTCAAATCTTGGGGAAACAATAAATACTTAAAAGACTAACTGGAAAAAGAGTGTCGCAAAGCACTACACCTCATGGCATGTTGTCATTTTCCAGCAACAAAATGGTGATGGTGACGAACGCAGATTAGTGACACATGCTGGTGGTGTCATCCTGCTTAAGGAATCATATCCTTCTAGAGCAAGGGTCTGCAACCTTTAAAACTCAAACCTTTAAAAGCCATTTTGCTCCATGTCCAAATTGAAAGTTTAGAGCCACAATCACTATATAAGCTTTTAATAAAACACAGCTTTGTTTTTAATTATGAAAACACACTTTATTTTTGTTACAGTAAATATGTCATAGGAAATTCTTCCGCCATTTTTAAAGAAGAACAGTTTGTTCGTATTTTTGGTTTCTAAAATAAGGAAAAATAAAATGTTTCAAAATAAAACATGAATTTTCTTCTATAGGGTATTTTTTGATGTAGCAAAAATGTTTTTTAGATTCAATCATTAGATTAAAATGATTAGATTCATTGAATTTTTTTTTGATCCACAAAACTTCTAAGCTTCTGTTACTATACTACATTATATTAAAAAAAAGTTAGAACTGTAAATATACAGTCCCATGTTTATATTACTTTGTATGTATTTATTACTGTTTTTAAGGCTGCACTTCAAAAAAATTTAATTGTCTAGAGCTGTTTTAAACCAAATTTCTTTTTGCATACACTCATGTATACAAAATGACAAAATAAATCTAAGTCTTGTATGTACCTTTAAATAATTTTAAGTAACTATTAAGAGCCATTTTAGGGGTTCCAAAGAGCCATTTACAGCTTCTGGGAGGCGCGTTGCAGACCCTTATTCTAAAGGCTTAGAAAAACAACCCAGAGTTGATGGAAACATAGATGGAGCTAGATGGAGGGGTGATTCTGGAAGAAGCCTTGTTAGAGGATGCAAAAGACCAGGATGGAAGTTCACCCTCTAGCAGGCATGGTTTGCATGTCCCTGGCAACTTTATATTCAGTCCTGGTTCATGGTAAGACTTGCACTCTAAACTTGAACATTATATTTATGATGACTAGGTATAAACATTGAGTAACATGAAAGATTAATATGCATAACTCAAAGGCTCTGATGCAATTAGTTTAAAAAATATTTAGATTTTTCTGGACTTGTTTGGGCTTACAGTGTGGAAATGACTGCTCTTCTGCCAACAGCTGCTTTGAAAACAGAAACAGCCAAAACACACGGGGTCTGAATGCAAATGAAAGCCCTTCTGTTATGGATTGTGTTTGTAAAAAAAAAAAAAAAACTATAAACAATCTTTTGACATTTTCCTTCCACTTTACTTTGATCCCACGAGTGTGAAAACTTTAGCAAAGCACTGTAGTAAGTAGCTGTGGTTTCAATTCACGCTTTCATGAAGCCTCTTCCTTAATCTGGGTTAATCTCTCAAGGGCTTGGAACTCAAGGACACATGAGACAAAATTGGAATTTCAACAGAACATAGGCGATACGTAGCTCTAGGAACCAGTTTTGTACATGGAAGTACTCATGCCCACTTTCAACTTACCACAGTCTCATCAGAAAACGGTGCTCCATGTTTTATATAGAAGAGGACAGCACAATAATCTGGTACCAGTCAGTCTGAGGGAAAAGAGTAGAGAGAGACAGAGAGAATCATCAGTAAAGCACACCTAAGACAAACCTCACATTATGCATCACACTGTTTCTGACAGTTAGTATTTAGCCCCATGTCCCTCCTCTTGCTCCATAATGCCCATCCCTCTGTAGTGGGAAACATACCTCTCCCCATAAGCTCTGACCTGTAAATGGGTCCCTGGTGGTTGCCTGTAATGTGGTGGAAAATCTGCGCCTGTGTGCTCCTTTTTTTTTTGGGTCCCAAAACAAGAAGCTCCCCCGACTGCCTTACTAACACACTTCAGCTCCCCGCTGTTCTGAGTGCTACAGGCCCTAGAGCTAAAAACGGTGGGACTGCAGGAGGATATAAAAAAAAGCAGAGGAGGGAACAGCAGCAGAGGGAAATTTGCCACAGAGATACAGAAGCAAAGAAAAAAATGTCTAAACTAGCCTAATTGAGAGGGTGCTGCCTCCAGTTAAATCCTAAAGCTAGCATGTGTGAAATGATTTTCAGGTTTAAAGACAAGACGATAAAAACAAATAGTGTTTCTTCATGCAGAGAGCTGGGAAAAAAAGTTTTTTTTTTTTCATTTTTGTTTGTGTTATAGCTTTTTTTAAATACTTCAGCTTAGTATCAAAGGTAACATAAGCAGAGACTTAAAGCAGTCTTTGAATAATGAATCTTTCCAAATCTGACATGAACTGTAAAAATACTTATGCTCCTGCTTGTTAATCAGTAATTTTCTATAATTAAATAAATACATTTCTGTCTGAGTGGTATCTGATTACTGCAAGACCAGCAGAATCACGGAAATAATTAATAAGAACCTGTCTCAGAGTTTAAGGTAGGCTTAATTAAATAAATAAAAAATCAAGAAATCCTAATCTGAAGACTTTCAAGTAAATAAATCCTAACTGGCATCAACTAACATGGAAAGCCGTATAAAACAATTAGATCAGATTAGATTCAACTTTATTGTTATTACACAGGTACAGGTACAAGGCAACGAAATGAAGTTTAGGTTTAACCAGAAGTGCAATACAGTAGCAGCAAGCGCAGGATAAATAATGGTTTCATAAATACAGGATATGGGTTTCTACTGAATAAGTACAGAGATAAATACCATTGTAAACAGAATCGTACTAATAGATAAATGTAATATATAGATAACTAGTCTTATGAACTAAATTTACAGCTGGATATGTACCGAATATAATACACAGGTGGATATTACTATAATAACATTACTAAACAATGTCCAATGTTTGAGGATACCAATGAACAACAGAGAAAGCTATTATCCACAACTAAAGAACAATGATGAGCCTTCCTACGGCTGGCCTGGTACCAAAGACACTGCATAAGCAGTTCAAATACTTATCCAAAAGTCAAGGATAAATCCAGAAAAATAGCATAAGTGCTGCAGGCCTCACTTACTTCAACTAAAATCATTGCTTATTATTATTAAGGAGAGATTTGAACCAGTTGTGCCACCAGGCGGTGGAACAGGGGTGGCCAGAGCCACCCTGTGCAAAGCCCTGGCCACCCCACTGGCCACCCCACTGGCCACCCCACTCACAAGTGTATCACACAATAAACTTAAGTCTTTATGATTTCTACAGGCAGGTTTACCACAATAGTAGATTCAAACTCTTAAATTATGGCTTTTATTTTTAATCTGCCACCTCAAGATTTTTAATGGCCCCCTCTGGCCACCCCAATGAAACATTTCTCGAGGTGCCACTGTCTGGAACACAGTTTTTTTAGTAAATCACCCTTGAGACAAATTTTGAAGCTTCTGGGAGGTGTTCCAAGCATTACATCTGTCAAAGAACTGAACACAGCATTTCAGAAACAGAATTCAATTCAATTCAGTTCATTTATATAGCACCAATTCACAACACATCATCTCAAGGCACTTTACAGTTCACCAGATCATACAGTCAAATTGATACAAAGTTTTCTATCTAAGGAAAACCAATTGCATCCACTTATTGACTCAAATGAAATCCATCACATTAAGCATGCATTAGCGACAGTGGAGAGGAAAAACTCCTTTTTAACAGGAAGAAACCTCCAGCAGAACCAGACTGAGTGTGAGCGAACGACAGAAGCAGAGATACAAAAAGCAGCTGTATAAGGCGGCCCCATCCAGGAAACACACAGCCAGGCAGACGAGCTCCGAGCCAGCTCCCATGTCAGAGGATGAAGAGAGCACATCCAGCCAGTCACAGTCAGTGAAACAGGACTACACTGGAAAACAGGCCGATTTCCAACATCTATAGATCACATGAACAATCAAACTTCAGT